AGATTGTGTTGGTCATGAGGGCTTATTGTGGGATAAATACGGTACACTGTTGACATTTAACCCCTCTGCACTAATTTGAGCCGTCATGCAAGGAGGTTCGTCTACCCGGGTACCTTTTATTCCAAGCTAAACGTCTAGTGTGTCCTATGTGTTGGCATAGCCAATAAAATGATAAAAAAACCACTTCATACTTCCGAGTACATCCGACGACAATGGCCGCCTGAGGTTCGATGATCGACTGTCATTATAGCTGTGGTGGTCTTCTCGTTATGGGCGCCTGTGGACTAAACCTCCCCACACACGATAACGAGCCGTGTCACTCGGCAGATGTGGTGAGTATCCGTAAGGGAGTCAGTGTCACAAGGATTCCTGGGGAGGAGGGGCAGGACCGGAGGAGCTGTGTACACCTGTCCGACAGGAGTGATCTCTATAGTTATGTTTCTGTCACTTCAATCTGGTTCGTTTGTGTTTTACGTCCCTTTAACAGCTATGGTCATTTAAGGACATGCCAGATTTTAGTGGTGGAGGGAAGCCGGAGTTCCTGGAGAAAAACCACCGACCTACGGCCAGTACATGGCGGCTGCCCCACGTAGGTCTCGAACCTGCGACCCAGTGGTGGGTGGTTAGTGGAAAAAGAATGTCAGACGCCTTACCACTTGGCCACCGCGGCCCTTCTGTCACTTCAAGTACTGGTATTTCAGGGCACGTCTCAATACACGTGTACATTCCATTTTATTATCAAGACTTCATCAGTTAATGAATATTTATGGGAATATCAGAGACGACAGAGGTTTCAAAACTCTGTAATATGTTTCTAGGTAAGGTAATGGTCCGGTGTAGCACTTAACAGGTAAATTCAAAAACGTTTTTGATATCAAGATTTATGACTTCTTGACCAAAAATCTAAAGCATCAAGATTTGGCATTTAGTAAAGCGAGTTTCTTTACCGTCATTGACCGTCACAGTTTCGAATTTGGACCATTACATTTGCTCCCCAGCCAGAGACGTATATACATCTGGTTTTATACGTCTCTTTGTCCCCACCTATCACTGTTAGACGAAAACGGGTATGCCATTCAGGGCTTTGTGCAAACGAGGGGTAAACAGGTGCATATATGTCGAACACAATTAGGAAAAAATATGGATTGTGAACAATTGTTGCTGTGGAACCACTCATAGTTACGATTATGTCTGAGTGGACTACCGACTAGGAACATATCCCGTTAGGCTCCGTAAGTGGCGCCGACTATATACAATACGAAAAGATATCCGAAACTGCTCTTGATCATTTCAAAACACGCTTTACCTATTGCATGGGACTTTGAAACATTGTCGTCAAGTATTCAAAAACTTTTGTGTGAGTATTTTGATATTTTAAAATTTTATTCCATTTTTTGTATTTCAGCTTTTTGGGGTAAAAGAAATCGAATTAACACGGAACTGTAATAACTGTAGTGTTTTTTTACGTAAAGTTTTTGTGTTTCTCCAGGTATCCAGTAACTTTTGACTGGTCATTCTAACATACAGGACCGCCATTGTAATGATCCCTATTAATTACCATTAACATGTATCGCCTCATATCCTCTACAGCCTGTTCGGACCAGACTGCATCCGGTATAGAATACACGGTCAGTGCTGTAGGTGAACCGTGTCCGTCCCTGACCTTTCTACGTGACCCCAGAACCAGCCTGAGATGAACCGTATCGATCGCCTTCACATTATACCTTCGCTATGCTGGTGCGCTATCGAGTGTCTCTAATCAACCTGCCACTGAACAGATTTGCATATCGATTTCGGTTAGACAGAAAGTGAACAGGGCTTTGAATGTCGATCTTAACGGAAAACAGGGTATACGTTTATTTACCGAAACGTCCTGCTATGAAAAGGTCATTTCCCTGTTCAGGTCATTGGAGTGTATTAATAAACGGAAATAGGAGGTACATCCCTAGTTGAAAATCCAATGTAGGGAGACAGTATCACAATTTCCGCATATTCTAAAGTTTAATATTAAACTGATGAATATTTCATGTTTATTATTGACAGAACAGTGTGTTCTCTCAATATTAAACTATTTTAAAGCAACTCAGGCATTAATTCAGTTGTTTGTTATCTATTAGTCACATGCGTCCATTTTTCTGTACTTCTGGAAACCGGCTACCTATTTCACTACTGTGAAGTTTTTCAAGACAGACAACTCTTACATGTAATTACTATGTGTATAAAATGTCAATTTTTAATCGTTTATAGATAATTTATTTAACACAATTTCAGCATTTATTAAATTGATATACATTAATGCAATACTAATCTATGGCATTATTATTTTTATTGACATTATTTTGCAATCAATTGTGTCTGTCATTTTTTCTTCAGAATTCACTCCTTTTTACATAATTTTCCATTTAAAATTCTTAAAATTCCGACAACCTTTATTTTTTTGTGGCAGAAAATTTTCTTTACCTCACAGCAATATAACTACAAAATTTGAAGAAATTCTACTTAGAAATGGTGACACAATCCTATTACCTTAATTTATCCCACTATTTAAATAATGTTCATCTCTATAACCTTTTCATGATTCTTCTGTCACCTAGGTTATGACAAATATCACGCTTAAAGGATACTATGATGTCATGTAACAATATACATTTTTGACATCACAATCAGTTTTCGACGGGAGACATCACGTGAAAATCTAGATAAAAACTGACTACAAATGCTGCTAACCATTGATTTAGAACACATTAATCAGAGGATGGGAGAACAATACTTATCCCCTATGGTGAGAGTGCTTCAAAGAAATTTCAACCGTCGGCGTGCGATTCTTAATGTCGTTCTCTGCTTGAAGCAGCCCTCAAGCAAAAGCCAGTCAATAATCTTATTCTTCGGACTGAGGGTACTGTATCATGTTTTCGCACGAGGGTATGATTGTATTAAACACAACGTCATCACCCTGCTAATCACAACAACGTCCTCACCCTGCTAATAACAACGTCATCACCCACTAATAATAACAACGTCATCACCCCCTAATAATAGCAACGTCACCCCCTACTAATATAACGTCACCCCCTACTAATAACAACGTCACCCCCTACTAATAACAACGTCACCCCCTAATAATAACAACGTCACCCCCTAATATTTACATTTGGTGTGGCAAAGCCCTTCTATATTACTACTAAAGTACTGCCAATAGCAGCTTCATCTTATGAGACAATAACTGAAGTTGGTCTTTGCTCCTCCGAGCGACTTAACAGTGTCACTACCGAACTTATCGGTATCTTCTGCTTTGATCCCTAACACCAGCTGCCTGTCTCAAGTTTCTGTGAGATCAACAAACAATTTTACGCCTGGATTTTTCACCAATTTAACCTTCTACGAATGCACGATCAACATCAACAACATGCCGGACCGCAAATATAACTCTGACCTGATTACTGCGGGCTTCCGTTGAGTGCGTGCGCCGGATATAGGTCGCAATAAAATCGGAAAATGTTTTACGACACTTGATTAGTTACTTACAAAATGTCATTTGTTACTATTTATGAATCGAGAATATGATATATATATAAAACAAAATCAAATGAATTATTAACGAAAGTTGCGGAGTCTTTTCAATTTTGTATGGGAAATAGCGCATGACGTCAGCTGTTATCTTTGTGCTGTTCTAGATACTGACCTGACCTGACGGTAATACGCGGGAAATTTGAAATTTGGAAAAGACGTATTTTTTTTGGCGAATTCTCATTATGGAAATATAAATATAAGCAATAAACTGCATAGATGTGGCAGACCAACTGGTATAACTTCCACATGTGTCACAGACAAACTTATCATGGGGCGCAGTTATACCAGTTGGTTTGCCACATCTATGCAGTTTATTGCTTAAATAATAACGTCACCCCCTAATAATAACAACATCAACCCCTAATAATAACAACGTCACCCCCTAATAATAACAACGTTACCCCCTAATAATAACGACGTCACCCCCTAATAATAACGACGTCACCCCTGCTTATAACAACGTCACCCCCTAATAATAACGACGTCACCCCCTAATAATAACGACGTCACCCCCTAATAATAACGACGTCACCCCTAATAATGATAACGTCAGCCCTGCTTATAACAACGTTATCATACTGCTTATCACAACGTGTTTAATTTATACCTATGCTCCAATTCGAATGTTTTTTTCTCTTTAACTTTTTTATCGACGTTATTAGAATCGACTCGATATACCAATTAGCACGTCTTTCAATGATGCGCGTGGTATGCACACGTGACATCGATGCGCTTGTTTACATTATATTTCCTTCCACAAACTTGTCAAACCACACACGTCTGCATTTCAGTGATGCCAATAACATGAAACCACTGACGTCACCCGTAGATCTGTATTACACATGAAGATACCATGACACTTCAAACAATTAAGACACCATGAAAGAAGAATTACAGTATAAGTATTGTTCCATAATTCTATACACTATTGATACATCCAATGCTATGGGAAACTGATGACGCCGGTTATGTCCTCGAAGACGATGGCAGCTCGATGAGGCTGAGTAATGTTCTCGGCCGCTCAATACATCATCGCGCGTGAAATGTATGGCTCGCGTGGACTGTGCAACCCATCGCCAGACTTTCCATGTAGGTACAATATCCACCCATTCAAACTCGTCAACATTTAATGCCACCCTTTATTTTCTGTTATTAATCAGTAATCAATATCCGTTTCCCCATGCCGTTGACAAGTATATCACTCCTGCTGTATACACATCGACACTGTAACACGACCTATACGTCATGCTACCTCTGTGTGTAGTCTATATAAGCTAATTACCGGACGGTAAGTAGTGTCCAGTAAACTCCGCCTTGACAGCGATTGACGCCGACCATTACTGGGTACGTCACAAGACCCCAGTGGACTACATAATGTATTTGTTTGTCCTCTGGCTCTGTCGTTTGTCCTCTTCTCTGTTGTTTGTCCTCTAGCTCTGTCGTTTGTCCTCTTGCTCTGTCATTTGTCCTCTTGCTCTGTCGTTTGTCCTCTTGCTCTGTCGTTTGTCCTCTTGCTCTATAGTTTGTTCTCTCGCTCTGTCGTTTATCCTCTCGCTCTGTTGTTTGTCCTCTTGTTCTGTTGTTTGTCCTTTTGCTCTGTCGTTTGTCCTCTTGCTCTGTAGTTTGTTCTCTCGCTCTGTCGTTTGTCCTCTTGCTCTGTCGTTTGTCCTCTTGCTCTGTAGTTTGTTCTCTCGCTCTGTCGTTTGTCCTCTTGCTCTGTCGTTTGTCCTCTTGCTCTGTCGTTTGTCCTCTCGCTCTGTTGTTTGTCCCCTTGTTCTGTTGTTTGTCCTTTTGCTCTGTCGTTTGTCCTCTTGCTCTGTAGTTTGTTCTCTCGCTCTGTCGTTTGTCCTCTTGCTCTGTCGTTTTTCCTCTTGCTCTGTCGTTTGTCCCCTCACTCTGTCATTTTTCCTCTTGCTCTGTTGTTTGTCCTCTTGCTCTGTTGTTTGTCCACTTGCTCTGTCCTTTTGACCTCTTGCTCTGTCGATTGTCCTCTTGCTCTGATGTTTGTCCTTTTGCTCTGTCGTTTGTCCTCTTGCTCTGTCGTTTGTCCTCTTGCTCTGTCGTTTGTCCTCTTGCTCTGTCGTTTGTCCTCTTGCTCTGTCGTTTGTCCTCTTGCTCTGTCGTTTGTCCTCTTGCTCTGTCGTTTGTCCTCTTGCTCTGTCGTTTGTCCTCTTGCTCTGTCGTTTGTCCTCTTGCTCTGTCGTTTGTCCTCTTGCTCTGTCGTTTGTCCTCTTGCTCTGTCGTTTGTCCTCTTGCTCTGTCGTTTGTCCTTTTGCTCTGTCGTTTGTCCTCTTGCTCTGTCGTTTGTCCTCTTGCTCTGTCGTTTGTCCTCTTGCTCTGTTGTTTGTCCTCTTGATCCGCGTTTGTCCTCTTGCTCTGTCGTTTCTCCTCTTGCTCTGTCGTTTGTCCTCTCGCTCTATCATTTGTCCTGTTGCTCTAATGTTTGTCCTCTTGCTCTGTCGTTTGACCTCTTGCTCTGTTGTTTGTCCTCTTGCTCTGTCGTTTGACCTATTACTCTGTCATTTGTCCTCTTGCTCTGTTGTTTGTCCTCTCGCTCTGTCATTTGTCCTCTTGCTCTGTCATTTGTCCTCTCGCTCTGTCGTTTGTCCTCTCGCTCTGTCATTTGTCCTCTTGCTCTGTCGTTTGTCCTCTCGCTCTGTCATTTGTCCTCTTGCTCTGTTGTTTTTCCTCTTGCACTGTCGTTTGACCTATCACTCTTTTGTTTGTCCCCTCGTTCTGTCAGTTGTCTTTTTGCTTTTTCTTTTATATTTGTTTTCTTTTGTAATCTGTTTATTTGTTTTTGTCGTTTGTTTGTTTATTTTCTGTCTTTAATGATCTTGTTCAGTCATATGTCTTTTCCGTTCAATTGTTTTGTCGCCTTTGTTCCTTCATTTGTTTTTTTGTTGATGTTTTTTCCCTTCACTATTTGGTTTGTATGGTTGTATCCATGACTTGTCACATCGTTTGTCAGAACGTTCTGGCATTTGACTTGTTGTTCTGCCGTTCAACCCACGACATGTCTCCTTAATTCCTCGGTGTGCCCATTTTATAATGATATCGTTTATTTTGATATTTTGATTTGTTGTAAAGGGGTCCACACAATTTTTGCTAAACTACTGAGCCAGTTGTATACGACACAATAACACTAGACAATATGTACCCTTCAGTCGCATAAACATTTGTGTTTACATTACGCCTCTACGATAAAGTAGACGCAACAAAAGCTGACGGGACAGGATCGATTCCCACCCATACAACAGTCAGGTATTAATTATTAATATACAGTCTTTCTTTTCACAATAAACAGTTACATACACGAGTGGCTCACAAAGTCGAATTGAAATATGAAACATTAATGTGTAAACTTGTACAGTCGAGATAGTCATCATTTACTGGCACAACGGGGTCTGTCACAGCACGCGCTACCTGTGTTCTGTCTGATAGGTACCTTATTTCTGTCGGAGCCTAAATGTTCAGTATACAACTTAGTTCATTGCAGAGATATCGTAGTGCACTATACATAAACAAAAGTTCACTATAGAAAAAGCATATTTCATCATACAGATATTATAGTTCACAATAGCGATATCATATTTCACTATAGAGATATCATAGTTTACTACAGAGATATCAGAGTTCACTACATAGATATTATAGTTCACAATAGCGATATCATATTTCACTATAGAGATATCATAGTTCACTATAGAGATATCATAGTTTACTGTAAAGATATCATAGTTCAGTATAAAGATATCATAGATCACTATAGAGATATCATAGTTAACTTCTGAGATATCATAGTTCTATATAGAATTATCATAGTTCACTACTGAGATATCATAGTTTACTATAGAAATATCATAGTTCACTACTGAGATATCATAGTTCTCTATAGAGATATCATAGTTCACTACTGAGATATCATAGTTTACTACTGAGATATCATAGTTTACTACAGAGATATCATAGTTCACTATAGAGATATCATAGTTCACTACTTAGATATCATAGTTCTCTATAGAGATATCATAGTTCACTACTTAGATATCATAGTTTACTACTGAGATATCATAGTTTACTACAGAGATATCATAGTTCACTATAGAGATATCATAGTTCAATAAAGAAATATCATAGTTAACTTCTGAGATATCATAGTTCAATATACAGATATCATAGTTCCCTACTGGGATATCATAGTTCAATATACAGATATCATAGTTACCTACTGGGAAATCATAGACTACTGAGATATCATAGTTTACAACAGATATATCATAGTTCTCTATAAATAAATCATAGTTCACTACTGAGATATCATATTTCACTACTGAGATATCATAGTTCACTACTGAGATATCATAGTATACTACAGAGATATCATAGTTCACTATAGAAATATCATAGTTCACTATAGAAATATCTTAGTTCACTTTAGAGATATCATTGATCACTATGGAGATATCATAGTTCACTATAGATATATCATAGTTCATTACTGAGATATCATAGTTCACTACTGAGATATCATAGTATACTACAGAGATATCATAGTTCACTATAGAAATATCATAGTTCACTATAGAAATATCATAGTTCACTTTAGAGATATCATTGATCACTATGGAGATATCATAGTTCACTATAGCTATATCATAGTTCATTACTGAGATATCATAGTTCACTATAGAAATATCATAGTTCACTATAAAGATATCATTGATCAATAACGAAATATCATAGTTAACTTCTGAGATATCATAGTTCAATATAGAGATATCATAGTTCCCTCCTGGGATATCATAGACTACTGAGATATCATAGTTTACAACAGATATATCATAGTTCTCTATAGAGATATCATAGTTCACTCCTGAGATATCATAGACTACTGAGATATCATAGTTTACTACAGAGATATCATAGTTCTCTATAGAGATATCATAGTTCACTCCTGACATATCATAGACTACTGAGATATCATAGTTTACAACAGATATATCGTAGTTCTCTATAGAGATATCATAGTTCACTACTGAGATATCATAGATTACTACAGAGATATCATCGTTCTCCATAGAGATATCATAGTTCACAATAGATATATCATAGTTCTCTATAGAGATATCATAGTTCACTAATGAGATATCATAGACTACTGAGATATCATAGTTAGCAACAGATATATCATAGTTCTATATAGAGATATCAGAGTTCACTACTGAGATATCAAAGTTTACTACAGAGATATCATAGTTCTCTATAGAGATATCATAGTTCACTCCTGAGATATCATAGACTACTGAGATATCATAGTTTACAACAGATATATCATCGTTCTCCATAGAGATATCATAGTTCCCTCCTGGGATATCATAGACTACTTAGATATCATAGTTTACAACAGATATATCATAGTTCTCTATATAGATATCATAGTTCACTACTGGGATATCATAGTTTACTACAGAGATATCATAGTTCTCTATAGAGATGTCATAGTTCACTCCTGAGATATCATAGACTACTGAGATATCATAGTTAGCAACAGATATATCATAGTTCTATATAGAGATATCAGAGTTCACTACTGAGATATCATAGTTTACAACATAGAGATATCATAGTTCACTACTGAGATATCATAGTTTACAACAGAGATATCATCGTTCTCCATAGAGATATCATAGTTTACAACAGATATATCATAGTTCTCTATAGAGATATCATAGTTCACTACTGGGATATCATAGTTTACTACAGAGATATCATCGTTCTCCATAGAGATATCATAGTTTACAACAGATATATCATAGTTCACTACTGAGATATCATAGTTCACTACTGAGATATCATAGTTCACTACTTAGATATCATAGTTTACAACAGATATATCATCGTTCTCCATAGAGATATCAAAGTTTACAACAGATATATCATCGTTCTCCATAGAGATAACATAGTTTACAACAGACATATCATAGTTCTCTATAGAGGTATCATAGTTCACTACTGGGATATCACAGCTTACTACAGAGATATCATCGTTCTCCATAGAGATATCAAAGTTTACAACAGATATATCATCGTTCTCCATAGAGATATCATAGTTTACAACAGAGATATCATCGTTCTCCATAGAGATATCAAAGTTTACAACAGATATATCATCGTTCTCCATAGAGATATCCTAGTTTACAACAGATATATCATCGTTCTCCATAGAGATAACATAGTTTACAACAGACATATCATAGTTCTCTATAGAGATATCTCTTAGTTCACTTTAGAGATATAATTGATCACTATGGAGATATCATAGTTCACTACATAGATATTATAGTTTACTACTGAGATACCATATTTTACTACTGAGATATCATACTTTACTACAGAGATATCATCGTTCTCCATAGAGATATCATAGTTTACAACAGAGATATCATCGTTCTCCATAGAGATAGCATAGTTCCCTCCTGGGATATCATCATAGTTCATTACTGAGATATCATAGTTCCCTACTGAGATACCATAGTTTACTACTGATATATCATAGTTTACTACAGTGATATCATAGTTTACTACATAGATATCATCGTTCTCCATAGAGATAACATAGTTTACAACAGACATATCATAGTTCTCTATAGAGATATCATAGGTCACTAATGAGATATCATAGACTATTGAGATATCATAGTTAGCAACAGATATATCATAGTTCACTATAGAAATATCATAGTTCACTTTAGAGATATCATTGATCACTATGGAGATATCATAGTTCACTACTGAGATATCATAGTTCACTACTGAGATACCATAGTTCACTACTGATATATCATAGTTTACTACAGAGATATCATAGTTTACTACTGAGATATCATAGTTCGTAGTAAACTATGATATCTCAGTAGTCTATGATATCTCATTAGTGAACTATGATATCTCTATAGAGAACTATGATATCTCTGTAGTAAACTTTGATATCTCAGTAGTAAACTATGATATCTCTGTAGTAACCTATGATATATCAGTAGTGAACTATGGTATCTCACTACTGAACTATGATATCTCAGTAGTGAACTATGATAACTCAGTAGTGAACTATGATATATCTGTTGGAGATATCATAGTTTACTACAGATATATCATAGTTTACTACTGAGATATCATAGTTTACTACAGAGAGATCATAGTTTACTACTGAGATATCATAGTTTACTACAGAGATGTCATAGTTAACTACAGAGATATCATAGTTTACTACTGAGATATCATAGTTTACTACTGAGATATCATAGTTCACTACTGAGATATCATAGTTTACTACTGAGATATCATAGTTTACTACTGAGATATCATAGTGTACTACAGAGATATCATAGTTTACTACTGAGATACCATATTTTACTACTGATATATCATAGTTTACTACTGAGATATCATAGTTCACTACTGAGATATCATAGTTTACTACAGAGATATCAAAGTTTACTACAGAGATATCATAGTTTACTACTGAGATACCATATTTTACTACAGAGATATCATAGTTCACTACTGAGATATCATAGTTCACTACTGAGATATCATATTTTACTACTGGGATATCATAGT